CCTCTCGGGACAAAGTGTGAAACCCTCCAAACCTCCAACCCCTCAGCCCCCTGCACCTGACCCATATGAGTTCTCAGAAGAAGCATCAATTAACCCTGCAGCCATTTCTCGAGCTGCACTGCGAAATAGTAGAGATGAAATGTTTCACCGGCCCTCCTTTAGTAAAATGGTAAGTTGTATTAATGGTGCAGAATTCTGTAATTTTCATATATTTATTCCATCAGGATTGATAAATGTATACATATTATAAACCATATAACTACTCATACAAACACATGTAATAAATTTTCCACATCATACAGATGTTTCTAGATATGGGGACATAATGTCAGATTGCACTTGTGATCAGAATTTACCTTGTTAAACTGAACATGTGCTTATAATTCCTAAATGTATTGTTTAATTTTCTTTCTGGAGTGTCTCTTGTGTTTGTAAGTATTGAAATATGGAGGGATGACTTTTAGAAATTTGTAAAGAGAAAATGCATTGAAAATTTTTACATTTTTGAGTTGCTTATGCTGATTTCCTAGAAATACAGATTTTACATTGATGCTGCTAGGACATGCAAGTGCATCAATTATTCAAAATTAGCTCCTTGTCATAGACCAAAGTGCTTATGGGATGGCCTGTTTGTGACCATCTTCTGAAATATGTCTGTCCACTAGCACCAGTTTCTTGTTGCTGTACCTCCTAATCTATTTGGAGGATTGACATGAAACTTTTTATATACATTAATCGCTAGATCAGGGTGGTCCAAAATGAAACTGGTGCTACTCCAACATCTGATGTTGTCTACCACAGCAGCCATATTAAAACTTTTGATATTACTGTTTCTGAATCAATGGTCATAACATCATGAAGTTTTCCTTAAAAGTTTTCATATGATGTCTGTTTGGTCCTCATTGAAAAATTTGCTGATCTGATGTTCAGCATGGCTGCTTAGGCAGACATCTTGAAAATCTTATCACAACTCATGAACAGACAATTGTATCAGCTTCAGTTCCAGAAGACTTCATGTGATGTCTTGTTCCTCCAGAAAGAAAGTGGTTCTTGGGTACCACAACAGAGAACTTTAAAAATTTGTATTGCTCCTCATACTGAATTGATTATGATATCAACATGGTAGTTTAATTAAAAGATTTATGAAATCTAGTTGATCATAAATGAATATGGTGCTGTCCTGACATCCAGTAAGGCCACCACAGCACACAGCAGTCTTATTGCTTCTCCTACTGAGTGTAAAGTCATATTGACATTGGGTTTTTACTAAAAGACATTAGCCATCTTGAAATCTTTTTGTGTGTGTGTGTTTTGCTTTACCTGCAGAATGGATAGTTGTATCAACATGGGGTTTTCACAGAAAGCCTTGTCTAGTTGGTCCTAATGAAAAGGGGATCCAAGGCCATGACAGCAGCTCTCTTAAAAGTCTTTTTATTTCTGCTACTTGCAGAAAGTCATTTTAACAATTAGCTAGAAGACTTGTGTCTAGTTGATACTATGTAAAAATTGTGCTAGTTTGATATCTAGCATGTTTACAAGTTGACATCTAGTATGGTCACCATGACTGCCATTGTAAAAATTTTGTTATTTCTTCTCCTAATGGAAATTCATAATGAAATAGCCCATTTCATACCAGATTTAACCGAGTTGCTCCATAATTATCCGAAAAACCTCCCAAATCACTTTATACTCCAGCCAATCAAACGCTGGTGGGTACATGTACATAACAAAATGGCGTACATTGTTGTTTAGAAGTATTAGTTTAAAACAAATTAAGAAATGCCCGCTACTTGTAACGTCAGAGGTTGGAAAAATCGTTCCAATCAAGGTTGTGGCATTAGATTCCATCGTCTGCCATGGAGAGATGATTTGTTGTGCAAACAGTGGCTCATACGAGCAGGAAAATCAGAACTTGAATTGACCGGAAAACGAATGTCTTAATTCAAGAATGCAAGAATGTGTTTGCTGCATTTTAGTGCTGATGGTGAAGGGACTTTGCAGCTTTACCATCAAAAAATATTTTAGGTTTGTTATACTGCGTATTAATACGAAAAATTCCTTATATTGGTTAACAAAACTCGATTTATGTAATGCGGTGTTATGGTAAAAAAAAAAGATTAAATTTTTAACATTGACACCATTTCCATACTCACATGTACATGTCCAGATGTAAACAGCTCATAGCAACTCTCTTATGTGGTTTTAAAATTTGCCTTGGTTTCCAGAAAATAAGACAGGTTGGTTCCAATATTAAATTTCGTCAATATCTGTGGCATCATCACTGTTGAATATGCATTTGTCAACTCGATAAACGAAGCTGAAGTAGTTGGAACAGTTAATGCTAATATGTCCGTCATGTTTTGACCACCAGCTATCGATTGGATATTGCAGTCAGCTGACCATCCGCCACGTGATCAAAATTCCGAGCAAATTACAAAGTTCGCTGAAGTTTCCATGGGGTTGTCAGCAGAAGATTAATTTTAATATCCAGTTGGTCCAGAATAAAAATTATGCCGATTTGACCTCATAATATGACTACCACAATTAACAAATTTAAAATCTTGAAGATTTCAGTTTCAAAGGAAGTCTCAATATATGGAAGTGAAAAAGGGATGGCATGTGTTCAGGTGTTGTGGGTAAGATATATACCACCTTGAAGTTGCCTCAATGTATTCTTTTTGCATACCTGGCAACCTTTATGCTTTTGGCATAATCATTACAATTTTTTTCACCAAATAATGTTTGAGCTGGCCTGTATATGGACTACAGTTTTTTGGTACAAAAGAATAAAGCAATGAAAAGTTTTTAGCATTTTTATTATCACTTCTTTGCACTTGTATAAATTGCAAGAATATTCTTAAAAAGATAACTGCTGCGTAAGATTAGTAGAAGGGTTGCTTAGTTACTATTTATAGCTTCTGTATGTAACCCATTTCCAAGAAAAAAGGGTTTCTTCAAATTTGAACTTTGCCTAATAGATTTTATTATATTGATAAGCTAGCTAGTTAGCGAACAGGTCAGAACCAGGTTAGTAGCTAAATGAAGTTTTCATACATGCTTCAATTCTGGCTTGTGACATAAAGATAACACTTTTTATACCCGAATTATGCTTTCTTTTCTTATTTATAACAGTGATAAAAAAAATCCTGTATGTCTTGGTGGTTGGGGGGATTGGGTGTTGCATGTATGCCTTTGTGGAGCCTACAAGAGGAGATCCTCATTTCCAGCTAATTTTATATTACCTTATGTGTTTTATTAAAATGTTGGTAAAATAAAGGATTATTTGTAAACTCTGTATAGTAACCTTGGGAATAAGTCTTTTATCAGAAGTATGCAATGCAAGTTTCCCTGTGATTTACCTTTTTTTCCATTTTGAAAGAAGAAAATATTTTATTGACTAAACTTGATTTCTGACTTAAGACTATACTTCTAATTCTCTTTGTTTATTTGCAGGAGGATGAAAAGGTAGAAATATGCAGGAGTAACAGTGAAAGTTTTACATTTGCCCGTGATGAAAGGCCTATAGGTAAATCCAGCATTAAACTAGTAGTACTGATAAAAATATTGAAAAAATGCAGTTATTTCTAAAATATTTCCTACTTTTCAAAGCCAAGGAATTTAATCTCTTGTACATGTTACATTAGTAATCAGCTTCATTGAATTTGTATCAAGATTTGACTCTTAGAAGTAAAAACCAAATAATTAATGTTGGTACTAGAAAATTCTAGCATAGTTAATGTTCATCCTTGTGAAAACTAAGGTGATGATTTCTTTGAACAGTCACTTAATTGATATTGATCACTGTATGAATATCAATTTAGCAACATGACTGAGGTTGAAATATGGAAATACTCTAAACGTGGTATATATGGGCTCACTTTGCTTCAAGAAAGAGCAAAATTATTGGGAATATAATTAAGAAGCATCATCATGTGAAGAACAAAAACAAGGTCACTGATGTCTGTTGGTCAGAGTTTGTGTTCCAAAATATTCACCATTAACCAGCATTAGGTAAACTGCTAATGTCCATGTTATGAAAATAATAGGGCTTTACAAGAATGTTTTGAAGGGGCCCCAAGTGACCAAGTGGTCTAAAGCAATGTCCTTTACCGATCACTACCATCTCACCGCTGTCTGCGTGGGTTCGAGTCTAAGATTCGGTGAATGTGGATATGTGAGAAAGCTTGCCAGTAGCTTCTTGTGGATTGGTGGTTCTTTCTGGTGATTTCCCGGTTTCTTTCTCCACCATTAATACTGGCCACCATGTATAGCCTATCGTGTGCTGAAAAATGGCATTAAGCCCCACATCAACAATAACAGCAAGAATGTTTTGAAAAATTCTACATGTATAGAAATAATAGATAACATGTACAAACTTGTTAACATTGTAGTCAAAACTAGTAAAAAAATACATTCCTTATTAACTTTTTTTACTTCTACTGGTCATAGACCAGAGGAGCTTATGTGATTTTATTTTGTGTCATTGAAACTTTGCACCCATTCCTCCCTTGATCTAGTTGGCCCTACTCCTCCAGAATGAATGGTTATAGCAGCATGGGTTTTTCACTAAAAAGAATTCTTATTTGTTCTTGATAAAAATGTTGCTCATCTGACGTCCAGTATGGCAACCATCTTGACAATCATAATTGCTACTCCTGAATTTATGGTCATATCAGCATGTGGTTTTCACAGAAAGACTTATGATGTCTAATTGGTCTAAAGTAACAATGCTGCTGATTTGTCATCCAGTAGAGCCTTGTGTGTGATTTAGATTTGTTAACGTAGCTTTTAAAATTTTTTTAGTCACATCACTACAATGTCTGCAGTGTGGCAGTTTATTGTGATGTCAAGCACTGGTGCATCATGCCGCAGATATGTAGCATGATGTCCCACCTAAGCGCATTATTATGACACCTGGCTGACCAGTCCTAACATTAACCTCTTAATGCGGAGCCCAAAGTGAGGCAGCTATTAGTACCATTTTTTACAAGTCTTTGGTATAACTCGACTGGGGATCCAACCCACGACCTCCTGCAACTGAGGCAGACGCTCTAACCATTCGGCCACCAGAGCGGTATCCCAGTAGGGCATTAACAGCAGCCATCTTAAAAATCTTGTTATTGCTACTCTTGAATGGATTGTTGTATCAACAAAAGGCTTTCACTATAAGACCTCTTATGATGTCTAGTTGGTCCTAAATAAAAGTGGTGCCCATCTTGTATCTCATTTTCCCTGCTTTTAAATGGAAACTGATTTTAATATTTGGTATCATAGCGGTCTTGAAAGTATTATCTCTGAATATTTAAAAATTTCCGGTTACATGAGCAATATACTTTTGAAGTATAGTTTATCCAAAATGAAAATCGTGTGAGTGATCCATCCATTATGGATGCAATGACACCAGACTTGAACATCTTGTCACTAAATGGATGATTATGACATGTTTTGCAAAAGACTTCAAAGTAACGTCTAATTTGTTCTAACTGAATAAATGATGCCAATCTGGCATCCAGTATGTCCACCACATCAGCTAATTTTAAAATCCTATTACCACTAAAAACTAGCTTCACTTTGCAGTTAAAAGAAAGAAGTGGTCTTATCTTCCTGAAAATGTTTCACCCAATCGATTTGTTTAAAATGTTCAGTTTATATAAGAATAAGTTCTGAAAAATCTTGGAGATCCCTGAAAAGTACTTGGAGTAAATTCTCTGAGGCTGTACAAACCTTGAAAGGTGCTTGTATGATTTAACAAAAAACACAACAGAATGTGCTGCTTAGTAAACATTGTTGAACTACTGAACAAGTTTCATCCATTCATATACCAGTTTAATCATTAAAGTTGCTTACATGTAACTAGAAATTCAGAAATTGAAAGGAGCATTGGTTTATTTGTTTTTTAGATTTAGGATCCCTCACATCACCTCCGACAACCCCAGGTACACAGACGGGTCCCAGCCAAGTTGGGATGGCCAGTAGTTTAACACGAGAAAAAGATCTTATTCCTCAGGTTTCAGACTTGGACAATCTGTTTGAGTCGGATTCAGATTCCAACGATGATCCTGTAAGTATATTAACCCTTTCCCTCATAGAGTGTATGGCTTTTTAGCCCTTCGATACGCATAGGCCTGTAAAGCAGTGAAGTGTATGTTATGTTTAATAGCAATTTTAACCATTTTACGTTTTTGGTACACAAATATTATGTCTGGAAAGATTTAAGAGTAAAATAAGGTCGCTATAGCTGTATAATTATTTTTAACAGAAGAATTTTGTATGTACTTTAAAATCTTGAGAAAACTCATTCAGTATCAAATCAGTGAAACCGTGTGATTGACAGCAGCGGCAAATTTCCATACTCAAAATTTACAAGTTCTTTGCGTCTACATCACAAAAAAATTTAAATTTATAATTTATAAAAACAGAGGGCTTTCTAACTCAGTCTCAAAGCCTTTCCCCCCAAGTTATTGAAGCTTTCATAGTTGTGATTTTACTGGTTCAAGTACTAAACGATATCAGAGACCGCCATTTTGTTGAATTGAGAATACAACCAACTTAATTTAAATAGCAGATTTCAACCAGAGCATCAACAGTGACCACGTGATCTGACATCATGGTCATTTTCACCAATGAATGTAGTATCTAACAGGGTTTTCCCTGAAGGTGGCACTACGAAAACCCACTCAAAATAGCTGTTGTTTACAGAGTTGCCAAAAGGCGCTTAGCGTGACATCGGGTAAATTGACAAAATGCGCTTAGTGTGACATTGGGTAAATTGCTAAAAGTCGCTTATATTAGGTAAAGGGTTAACAAAGAGATTCACATGGAGGGGGGTAGAATTGTCCCATTCTAGCTGAAAAACAAAGAATTTGACAAGAAGTAGACAATATTTACAGGGAATAGATACTGACTAGTGTTTTCCAACCATAAAATAATACCTAGTGTGACCATCCAGTGTACTTTGGGAGAGAAATGTTATTCATTGCCGAATATTTGTTTCTTTAATTATACTATAGCCCACAACCATCAGATCAACTAAATAAATTTGTCTGTTATATTTATTCATTTTTAATCATGTTTTATCTGTGGTAATATCCTTTGACCCATGATGACTGTTGCACTTTATATAGGTGTATAGGAATAAATGAATGAATATTCTGCTGCCACAAGCAAGTTGATGTTTATATTTCATTATTGCATGTTTTCTTCAGTTTTCACATAACAGCCCTATCATGAGTAAAAGTGTGGAAGATGGCAAGAGCAGCAAAACCACTACAGCCTCTGGAACTGGAGATATGATGGATAAGCTTTGTGAGTAACTGTATATGAAGTTTCAGTTTTGTAAAAAGTAAAAAGTTGGATTCTTGGGCAAGTCAGGACTAAAAAAGAAAGTTTTGGAATCAAATTAATTAATTAATCAAATTAAAACTGAATTTAGAATGCATTCAGTTTTGATGTGGAAGAATGTGAAACAATAATTATGATATCTTTGCCATTTTTGTATGAGAATGTTTTCTTTGTGCACAAAATTTTGTACACTTGGCAGAAATTTTATAAGAATCTATTTTAATGGTAACTTAGAAATTTCTTTTGAACCGCCCTTTTTTATTATGTTGGATGCATATGTAGTCATTCTGCTCACACTAAAGCCACATATATCATGTTATGATTTATGTCATGTTTTGTTTTCAGCAGATAATTTTCATTTTTCACCATCTGTCATCTAACTTTCTAAGTAAACTGCTTTTAAGGCAAGTAAGAAACGTATTGATTTTGGACTCCAAAGAAAATGGTCCAAGTCATAGGGAAACAAGGAACCAAAAATATTTGGCAAAATATCTCTATTTCAGTGGAATGTTTTTAAAACCCATATGAAAATTTTGTGGATATAATTTGAATTTTTTTCTAAGGAAGATACCAATTGATTGCATTCACAAATGGTAAATTGTAGAAGGGTTTTACATAAAGGAAGTATAATAATGTTTAGCACAGGCTGAGGTTATAATGTTCTGTTGATGGCACTTGTATTCTGGTCTAATAGGTGTACACAACTCTGCAGGAAATTGGAATTTTTTCATTAACTAAAAAAACTGTCTTTTGTCTGATTTATCCAAGCATCAATAAGTTCTTTCTTTTATGTGGGATGAACCCACCACCTAACACTGGCAAGTTTGACCTTGTACAGGTGCATATACATAGTTACGAAGCATTGTTTACTGTTCTGCAACTGACTGGCATTGGTCACAAGCTGCTCAACTTGTGAACATATCAATTTTCATGCAGTTCAAATAGTATCCAGCTGTGGAAAAGGAACATAGACTTTGGGCAGAAAGTTTTAATTTGGAAAATGATTCTTATTCATAATCCATTTTCATTGCATTTCTGTACATTTATACATGCAGACTAAAAAATATTTATTCCACAACATGGAATTAAGATGTTTGACCTGTTTTCATTATTTTATCAACTGTTCCTATCTGCTTCTGAATGATCCCTTATATACTATAGCAAAGGACATACAGTGTGTGCTTGTCTAACTGACCATGGCACATAGAAATATAGCTCATTACAAGATATAGCTGTTAGAGCATTATTCCTAACCTACATAAAAAGATGGTACACTTGGCTGTTTAAAGAACATTTTATAATCATTATAAAAAAGCCCAAAATTTATTTGCCAGTTCAGTATGCCAACAGTAATAATTTGTATTTTCCAGGGAGTTGCTTAAACAAGTGGATTTTGAGAACACTAAAACAGATTTCTACATGAATCAAATGGATGATAAATCAGTTACTAATAGTTAATGTGCATTTAAAAATAGCAATGTCATCCATTTTGTATATAGCCTTAAAATGATCAAGGTGGTAAATGCCATTACAGCTGCAGCAGAGTTGGCACGAATGTACCCAACCCCTCCTTCACTGGAGAACAACCATAACTTTGCCCTTTCTCCGGCCACCAGTGCAGAGGCTCCTGTAGAATCTGTCACACACATAACTGAAGGGATATGCATTAAGACAGAGATCCATATAAGTCATCACTTTCTGGAGGAAACTACCAGGGTAAGATAAATTGGAGTATTAAAGAAAGATATCTTTGTCAAGCCTACATTAATGGGAGGTGAGACATAGCATTTACTTTTCCAGTGCAGGGAAACACTGTCAGCGTTTTGTTAGGGTTATTGTTAATGCTTTTTATTGCATATATATCCTAAATTCTGAGGGCTCTTTGACCTACATGGCATGAGCCATTGTGTAGTCAAGATGATGTATTCATGTTCACTTACTCAACATACCCAGGGGTCAAGCTTATGGTTGTATGTCTTGCACCCAATTTTGGATTTTCTTAATACTTTGGATGATTTATTATAAATGTAACATTTTTCAACATGTTTGCTGACTTCCTTCCACCTGGGTGTCAAGGAAAATTTGTATTTAGGTTTGATTAAAGTTTATTCATTTGATTCTATTTCTTAACCCAGTGATAGGCAGGATTGGTTTAATATTCTGAATAGATCATTCTCAAAAAAATTCAACCAATAAAATGCATATTCCAATGTTTGACCTTGATGCCAATGTTGAATATTTTGTAACATTGCTTTGTGTGTTTGACATGCAGGCCCTAACCTTACATTGGCTGCAAAAAGAAGTATGTAAATGATAAGATTAGCATATCATTATCCATGAGAAAGTTGCACGTTTGACAATATATAATTCTGATTGAGATTTACTTCCATTTGTTTTGTATTTATGCACAGCATTCATACTTCAAAGGTAATCAGTTTTCTGTGAAGTTTCAGCAAAACTATTTTATTGGTATATTTAAAATAAACAGAAGGTCTAGCCATCATAGAAATAATTGTAGTTGTTTCTTTTCCTGTCTTCAGAGGTCCGTCAATTGTAGGTATAGTCCAAGAGCATGACTGAGTGTATCACATCATACATTTCTCAGGCCAGATGTCAGCATAAACAGATTATGATGTAACAATGTGCTGCAAAGATGGGTTTGTTAATACAAACAAAGGATTTGTTTATGTAACAGATAGATTCCAGTGCATTGTGTATCTAAGTTTGTGACTT